TATTTGAATGGACGACAGCTGAATCCATTAACCATTCTTATCATGCGGTCTCCATTGCTCAAACAGCTGCTAATTTCCTTGTCAGTGAAGCAAGAAAGAGCAACCATCATTTCACAAGTGAAGAGAAAGCCATAATGACTGTGTCATCATCTTTTTATTCTTCAAGTATTTGTAGTATAATAGTTTTTTCTAAAAATGGCTCCAAAATCACCCAAAATTTTAATTACATTTTTCTGATACATATTGATGTATTATGCTGTTTAGAAAGTTTGAGCTGATTCTAAGCTCAAATTTTTGAGTTATGGCCATTTTAAAAATTGAGCCCATTTTTAACAAATTCTCTGTACTTATTATAGCCCATGCTTCTCCCTATTCACCCCTAATTTTTATTAAATTTTTTGATATAGCTATATATATCCAAGCAGATGCCAAATGAACTGATTTATTTATAAGCATTTTAAAACTGAATTTATTTTAGATAGAACACAATAATTAGTCTCAGTCTCACCTTTAACTTTAAGTGTAGCAGTTGGAAAGCACTCATAACGGTCACCACCGCAGTCGAGAGGCCACAATTCCACTGAAACAAGGGGGGGCTCTGTATAGAGGCAGCAGTAGAGAATATTGTACAATGTATGAAAGTACGATACAGGGAAATCGCAAATCTGGTGGGGCCCATCCTTAGGGGTTTCCATTGGTGTAAGCCCGTCAAACGAGTATGCCAGCAGGCACGGTTATTTACAGGGGCTGAGTTTTATATGGTAGGGCGTAAATAGTGTAACGATAACGAAGGGTGGTGAGACCCACAAAGGGAAACCAAGGAGCACGTATAGGGGTAGCTGGAACGCAATGAGTGCATATATCGTATGTTGTCCCATCATGAGACATATTCAGAACTGGGGTCACATATGAAAGTCTTTTCTTATGATTACCAATATTAGTAATATCAACGTTAATTTTTGATGAATAACATCCATCAATGTAGAGTCTTAACAGATGACATGTAGCAGGAACAGTTCCAGTAAAGGTTGTCGTCCTGCCGACATATTCCATAGCGTTTAAAGGTCCAAGACCTGTAAATGACAATAAAGACTAAACACAGCGTTTAGTTCCCTTACTATTGTCTATTTTTTTTTAGTCAGAGATACTCTCTGAACAGTTACAAAAGATTTGTGGCAGTGAGAGAAGTGTAAGAGTAATGATGAAGCTTAAGCAACCGGAGGAGACCATGTCTAGTATGTGACAGTTTTTCATTTGTGGAAATTGGAAGAAGAATATAAAGGGTGTGTCTAGAAACTGTAGAGCTAGAGCTAGAGCACTTTTTGCTCCATTTGGATCACTTTTGCATGCTTCATAAACTAAATAATACACACTCACAGTATCATGGAGGAGAGGGATTTACGGAACATGCAATGATCCAAGTGGAGTGAAAAGTGATAAAGTGCAGTACTCAGGAAATACACCTGACTACTAGGGAATTAACTTCCCTGGGAAATCCCATCCCATTCAAGTTTTAATTAGATAATAATAAAAGTATACTACATACAAATGTATTAAATCAAAAATTTAAAATGTGTTAATAATAATAATATTATTTTATTTTACATTAACATTAATGCTACCATCAGTAGAGTTAGTTTGATCTTGTACTGGAGTCTTACTGCTATGCTCATCTCCAGTATATGTTGGTGGATGTTTTTCTGTTAAAAGTATCAATTGATGTTGAATGATTCAAACTATTCATTACCATATTGTCCATGAACTACAGCAACACATTCACCACATTCTTGTGCAATGGTATCAGCATAGGAAGGAGGAGGAGAAATGGCTGAACTATAAAATATAAATTATTATATTAAAAACGAGAGACTGAGACAAAAGTAACACTATCAACTAACATGTTATCAGATGAATAAACATTGATACATCCTCTCTAAAAGATAAATATAAAAATGATTAAACATTATTCATTGTTAATACCTTATTA